CATGTCCTATTTCTTTTGCAACTGGCACAGGTATCTAGTAACACATGATATATTTTACACCATTGCAGTGTCATTGTTCACAGGCCTAGCTGATCCCATAATATATTACACCAGTGTAAATGCTACATGTACTGTGTCTAGTGCACTTATGGCTAATATGCCAGTGCAGACAAGGACTCAGCAATGGTGAGTTTCTCAGCTAAAGGCAGAGGAAATGGGCTTGGTTGGAAGAATAATGGTATGGATGAGAAGGGATAAATCCATTCACCAACCAATGGACACATGCACAGTTTTGCCTCTTGTCCAGAGGTGCTCAACCCCCAGCCATATCTGACCCCTGGTGTCATGTCATCCAGCTGGCACAGCTTCCCACAGTCTGGCAGTGGTGATACTACTCCCCTGCTGCCAAATTTTCAGACATGTGGGGAGCCTTGTGGGCCTGATAGCATGGTCCTGAGAGCTGGATTGGGTGCTCAGGGAAACGCAGAGCCTGATCTCAGTTTGTGGGGCTGAAGGGCAGCATGGAGCTCCAAGGCTTGATCCCAGCATGTGAGACCAGGCTGGGGGTGATGCAGCACCCTAGAGCCTGATCCCACTGTGTGGGCTGGCTGGAGGCAGCATGGGACCTGATCCTGTGCACAAGGTCCAATCCAGCCTGTAGACCAACTGCATGCTACTTATCAGGCTCGCCTACAGAGCCAAAAGGTTGAGCACTAATGCTCTAGTCTATGGATAATACCTGGGCCAGAACAAAGGCTGCTTGTCCTATGCACTCTCCTACCCCAGGTTTGGGGGGCAGCTGGATCTGTGTAATCAGGGACCCTGTGACCATGCCTCAGGAGCCCCAGTCCTGCTCGTTCTCTCTCTGTTTTTAGCTATGCAGAGCTACAAGCAACCTAACCCCGTAATATGGAGTTCATAGGTCCAGTACCCTGGTTCCTCTGCACTGGAGGCTTTTCATGTCCCCACCCCTCTGGGTAGATTTTAATCAGAACTACTAGCCCCACTCCATCCACTCTTGCTCTGTGTACCAGTGCTCTGTGTACCATCCACTCTTGCTCTGTGTTTCCCTTTGGAAATCCTGAGCCTTCTATTTGCTATCTGGGCCAATGTCTCCATAAATTCTGATTGCTGGAGGGAATCTTCTCCTTGCAATGCAAGGAGAGTGGCCACCTGTCCTAGAAATGGCAGGACAAGGCAAATTTCTCACTGCCATGCCCGTTGCTCAAATCTCTCCTTCTGTGGGATGCAAAATATAAAAGGATGTGTTTGCTTGTCCTAGCTCTTGAAATTAGGTTATAATCAGAGAAAATAGGAGAGCATTGGCAGGCTTTTGTATGGTCCAATAAATATATTTTATGGGCCACCTAGAGGCTTTGGTGAAAAAGCAGCTTCTATATATAATTCACCAAAGCAGAGGAAGATCAAGGAAATTACTCAGGCAGAATTCCAGAGGACCCTGAGCCATAAAATATACTTGAGCCTGTGTAGACCTCAGACCTTGTGTAACAGCCGTTCCTGATAGCTTCTTTTCACAAGGTTGGGTCTTTAAGCAGCCCTGCTGCAGAGTGACATTGTGTATATGCAGAACATGATATCAAAGAGGACTTCATCTAGGCTTGCTGGCCAGGGGTTTCTGCAGGAGTTCAGAAGCATTTTCATTTCATGTTCCTGTATTTGGCAGTGCTCAGCTCTTCTTCCTGCCCCAGAACCCCTGGTTCTCAGAGCACTTCAAAGGAGGCTCTGTGAAAATCTTTGCAGTGGTTTATGGGAAAATCCTAGTTCCTGAGAGGGATGGCTTGCAACTGTCTGAGTAAATCCACTACAGCAAAAGAACAGGGGCAGGGAGCAAAAGGAGTCTCATGACCTCAACTGCTGCTGATCCTTGGGTGGGTCAGGAATATGCTGCTGTAACCAGACATTTCTGTATTTACTTTCTACAGGGATTGGAGGAGCAGCCTCAGTCTGAGCAAAACCCCTGTAGTTCCAAGGTTGTCACTGTGTTAGAATTAAAGATGGACCTAGGGCCAGACATGGATTGTGATTTGGATCCTAACTTTCCAAAAATGCAGAGGGGAGGGGATGATTCAGCAAGGCACTCTGACCCATTAAACATGCGGGGAAGTAGGAAATCCAGATCTGAGCTGACTTCCCAAAGTGGGGGAGTGTCCAGGTGGGAGGCTTAGTTGGTAGCAGTTCCACACTTCAGTTTTATGGTGGCACAGGATAATTCATTTTAGTGTTAAAAAGCTGAAGCAATACAGTGGGGAAATGAGCTCAAAGGATTAAATTCACTTTCTTTCTGATGGGAACTGGCTTCTGAACTAGTTTGGAGGCAAGGTGCAAGATTATAAAAATGTTAACAGTTGCCACATAATGCATGTCCTCTCTGTGCTAACACACACTTTTTCTATGCCTTGCAATAGTGGGGGGCCAATCTTTTTGGCAGGTGTGCCCCAAATTACCTCATATCCTCCAAGCACCACTCTGATCCCCTTCCCCTGCCCCATCTGCTGCTCTACTTTCTGCTTCCTGCCCTGTGCTCCCTGCCCAATCTGGTGCTTTGCTTTCTGCTTCTTGCTCTATATGCCACTGTACTGCTTGTCTTCTCTTTGATATGCTATGTGCCCCCCACAAAGGCTGCCTGTGTCACTTGTTGCCCAAGTGGCACAGGTTGCCCCCGCCCCTCCCCTGCCCTGCCATAGGCATACAGGAGGCAAGAGTTCTCAAGAGCAGTGGTATCCCCAGAGTGGCTTCACAGCCTCATTTTCAGGTTTGGCACATATATGCATATCAAGCAGTTTGTTGCGGAGTAGTTCAAATGATTGGAGTAATGGTCTATGGAGCAGAAGAGGGTGCCAGTGAAATTCAGGCCTAGACTGCTTCTGCAATTTCTTCCTTTTAGAAAGTGATGAAAGTTGATCTGCTACGTGTTCAACTGTTTACAAGGGTTAGCTCCTGGTTTGTGGCAGGCCTGTCTAAAAGGTGCAGGAGGTCACACGTTTATATCCAAGAAAAATGGGTGGATCTCTTTTTTGGGGAGGCTGGAAGGACATCCAGAACTGTTTGGCACATGGCTCTTCTCTCTCCCATGAGACACTTGCTTTGCAGTACATCCAGCCCTCGGCAGCCTAGAGAACGAAACAAAGGCTGGGAAATTAAACCCTGGGATATGATCCAAAGCCCAGTTGAGTCAGTGGAAGTTTTTCAGGTCAGGCCCATAGGCTCTCCAGTAAGGAAGTGCAAACTAGAGATTTTAGGGTTCTTGAATGGCTCATTTCATTCAAGAACATAATTATTAGCAAGTCATTCATTTGAGGAGCACTCTTATTATAACTGCTGGTAAATGACTATTAAAAATGCAGCCCTAGTGATTACAAGATGCCAGGTTGCACTGGTGTTAACTGGTGCCATATGGAAGCAATAAATACAAAATCATAACATTTCAGAATGAAAAATTATACTAGTTTCAGAGTCAGTTCCCTTGCAAGGGCAGTAAGTCTCCTGGCACAGGACTCACATTGCACAAATACACCTTCTTGTGTAGTCGTACACACAAATGACTTCCTTATCTTTTTCTCGGCAGCTACCTAGGGAATATGTTCGGTGAAGATCTCTCAAAGAGTCTTTGCAAACATGACTTTGCAACATGCCATATTTTTCAGCTCATTCAGGTTATCTATGCCGACTTATAAAACAGAGGTGGCTTGTGGCCACAGTAGCTCGAGGGTTTATGCTTGTACATTTTGAATCTTTGTTGCTGTGCAAGACTGATGAGAAGTGAAATCCCAGGAATCAGAAAGTCAGGGAGATTATACTGTGATGAAGCAGGCTGCCCCCTAGAGGGGAATGAACAAACTGAAAATGTTTCACCTTGGAAGCTCAGAGAAAGCTAGGAAGGAACTTGGTTACAAAAGACAGCCTGCTCGTCTGAAAATGACTTGTTAATGACTTGCAGTTGGGGCAGTAAAATGGGTGTCATGGGGGAACACAGAAAAAAAGGAGGAATTAAACATCAGAAATGTTTCAGCCACTGCAACAGAAATGCCCTGTGAAAGCAAAGCTTTTAGGGTAGAAGGAGACGCACACTGACATGATGTCATCTGAGTGTCTAAAATTCAAGCTTCTTTCATCCAGGAAATGCTTAAGAGTGTTTATACAAGAACTTTATATTATCTTACCTTCTGGAGTGTATATCAGCTTATGCATGACATTTAGGAAATGCCTGTTGCTTACTCGAGGTATGCAATATGACTAAGTGCAAACATTTAGATAGTAGTTCTGCCCTTTGATAGGTGCCTCTGTATCACTGCACAGCTTGTGAACTCAAAAGCTATTAGATGCTTTTGCAAGGCCTCCAGTAAGGTTTGTTGAACTGTAGTCCAGCTTCCAGAGTCATAATTCATGGCTTTATGACATATATTATCTGATGAAAGTTTTCTGTAGTGGCGTGAGTAAAGACAGCATTTGGAAAAATCCAGGAAAAATAGCTTTGAAGAACCATAACCCTGGAATAGGACCCTGGCTTTCCATAGATCCACCAAGGCCAGTTGACAATAAATGCAACTTATCGACATGAAATAAATTTGCATTTTCAGCTTTGGAACCTGATCTAAAATCCACTGACACTCACTGATCCAGAGCCCATTTCCATCTTGTGGTGACAGAGTCCTAGGCGCTGTTCTTCTACACTGACCCCTCCTGCCCAGAACTATAGCACATCGACAGAGTGATATATGTGGAAACAAACTCTGCCATGCTGAATCTGTTCTAGGGAGAGCTCTTTAAAATGAATATTTTATTCTTTCCCCAAGCTCTGTATTTGCTTAAGTCATCTCCATAAAGGTTTGCTACAAGGAGACTTGGTGGGTAATATGTGGGTGCTGGATATAAGGGATGCCAAGAAAATGAGGACACTGTGTCAGCTGATCTGTTTAGTCATTTATTAGTCATTTCTATGAAGCAAACCCTTACCTTGCATCTTAATATCCTGTATGCAGTGTGTGTTCCCATGGATAGATATGTTGTGGTGCCCAAATATGATGAGAAAGGGATACAATATAAGAACCTAGGCAGAAGAGAAAGGACATATTTTTGTTTATGTACATGTGTAATATCCATGTGATATATACATTTATTTGTGTAACCATGTGACAAACTGAACAACCATGTTATAAACCACATTTATTGTACCCTTGGACCTCAGTTGAATGCTGCTCACTTGTTTATTTCTACTAGGACACCTTTAAACATTATAAATTGCTTTAAAGCCACTGGATTTTATAAGGGTTGGGGGTGGGAGGGCGGGGGGCGAGCGGAGGGAGGATGATTCCCCAGCAGCTGCTCTGATTGCCCTGGAAACATCCACATTTTTAAAAAGTTTTATAGCAAAACTAGAAATCTGAATTTCAGACAAGGCAGCTGTTCTTTTCCTGTCTTTCTTCAGTTGAAAAATGTTCAGGATCATTTTCCAGGGATAATTTTTAATCATGTCACCAGCAGTGAGTGAAGTCATTTGTTCTCTGGCAGGCAAGCTCCTAAAATACTAAGCAATAACAAAAGCTGAAGAAGGTGACTCAGGAAGAAATTGGGGGGGGGAGGGGAGTTATCCACTCTTACCTACTGGATGGCCCAGCACAAAAAGCTGAGAACTGTCTGTATACTTAGCAGACATTGTTCTTTTGATAGCAGGTGGATTCATTCCCTTAGAACAGCATTTCTCAAACCATAGGCCACGACCCAAAACTGGGTTGCAAGAATATATGAAAGGGTCGCAAACAATCACAGAAAAATGCAGAAAATCATAGATTTTCTCCTTTAAAGGAGAAAATGTGGGAAACTGCAGGTTTCCCCTTGCAGGCTAGGGAGCGGGAGGGGCTGCACATACATGTATGCACGCATTCATGCACATGGCAGCCAGGCAGTATGGAGAGCAGTTCCCCACAGTCTATGGGGTGAGGGAAGGGGCATAGGTGACATATCAGGGGGCAAGAGGGACACAGGCAACGCATCAGGGAGGCACAGTGAGAGCATGTGCCCCCTCAGATTTGTGCACCCACAGTGGGCATGGGGTGGCAGCCTGGCTGGACCAGCATGGGCAGCAGCTGCCTCCATGGCCCAGCAGGCAGGACACAGCTTGGGAGGGTAGAGTGGGTTTGCGAGACTTGCTGCTGCTACCACTGGCAGCAAGACCCATGTGCCGCCAACCACTTGTGCACTAAGCCATGGCTGTACTCCACTAGGATGGGCTCCCTGCCACTCCCCTCAGGCTGCGGCTCTATCATGGACAGGGAGGTGCTGTGGTGAGCAGTGCTGGTGGCCAGAGGGGCGTGGCAGCAGTGGCCCAGCCATGGCAATGTGGTAGAGCTGCAGTTTGGTGCACAATTGAGTGGCGGCAGGAAGAGGTTAGGGAAGCCAACCCCTCCATCTCCCCCCACATCCATTACTCCTCCCACTGCTAGCAGTGTGGCTGGCACAGGGGTACCGTAAGTAGCAGTGGAAGCAGGAACAAGTCTTACAACCCTGCTCTACTCTCCTACGCTGGGTCCCATGGCAATGTGGTAGAGCTGCAGTTTGGTGCACAATTGAGTGGCGGCAGGAAGAGGTTAGGGAAGCCAACCCCTCCATCTCCCCCCACATCCATTACTCCTCCCACTGCTAGCAGTGTGGCTGGCACAGGGGTACCGTAAGTAGCAGTGGAAGCAGGAACAAGTCTTACAACCCTGCTCTACTCTCCTACGCTGGGTCCCATAGGCTCCGCAGCGCTTAGAGATCTTCATGAGATGTGAAGTTCTCCTCTTCCAGATGGTTGTGGAGTCCTCCAACTTGGGCGGAAACCGCTCAAGCCTCTTATACGGCTAGCAGGCCAATCACTAGCCGCCACGTGGGAATAATTTAGAATTGGCCAATAGTGGGACATAAATTTGTATGCGAATGGTGGGAACTCCTTGCACCGTGCATTTCTCTTTTGCAACCTAGAAATGCACCCTGCAAAGAAAGCTACGAGTGGCGGGAAACAATTTAGCAGTGCCGAAGCACACACAAACAAAAATCACACCCTTGGGTTGTGACAGGTCCCACCTGCTGGGTCGTGGAGATGGCTCCTGCCTGTGCTGGTCCAGCCAGACTGCAGCCCCATGCCCACTGTGGGTGCACAAATCTGGGAGGTACGTGCCCCCCCATGTCTCCCTCACCCTACACACCCACCCCCTGCCCCACACACTGGGGAGCTGGGGCCTGGGCACAGGGGGCAGAGGGTTGGGAGTGAGGGGCACCGGCAGAGCCAGCTGGCTGTTTTCTACTTAAACTATTTACTGGGTCAGGATTGGCCATCAATGTTTACAGATGGGCCCTTGTTCAAAAAAGTTTGAGAACCACTGCCTTAGCTGGATTATGTGTATTTAGTCTCTGCAGTCAGGAGTTGGCATGCACGCACCTGTGTGTTGTTGCCATGCTCTTTAGCCAGCCTGGAATCTGCTCTTTTTCCTCTAGATGGGTAGGTTAATTTCTGTCTTGGATTGATATCAACAGTGCTACCCAGTGTGGCTCTGTGCACAGTGTAGGGGGTGCATGCAGGTGCACCTGCACCCCCTGAGTGTGGCAGTGCACCCCCTACGAAAAGGCACTGCCAACACTGCCAGCGGCGCCTGCAGGAGGTCACCGCTCGCCACCCCTCTCCCTCACTACCAACACCGCTGGTGGCATCTGCGGGCAGTCTGCGATCACCACTGGGTGCTGCCGATGCTGCTGGCAGCATCTACAGGTGGTCGCTGACCACTGGTTGGCACTTGCCACCCCCACTGCCAGCAGCACCATAGCTGCCTGCAGGAGCTCCCCGTTTGCCGCCACTACGCTCCTGCCACCACCAGTGCCACTGCCACCTGCCGGAGCTTACTGTGCCCCCAGCCGCCAGGGGCACATGGCGTTTATGGCTCTGTGGATATGTCTATGCCCTTTATGGGTGGTGTAGAGCTCTTGAGCATGCGCTGCCGACCCTTGCCAAACCTGGGAATGCAGCAATAAAGCCACTTTGGGGGTGCCTTTGTGCCTACTCATAAATAGGGACCTACCTAACTCGCAGTAAGAGAAAACCATTTTTGTGGCTTGGTCAGAGCCCAAAGAACCAATTTCATGGTTATTTCTCGGTGGCCCTACTCCTCAGTGCTGATTGGCAGAGAGGACCCAGGGGGGAGAAAGGCTGACGGGACAGTCACCCTCTTGACTCCTGGTTGCCCATCATGTGGCCCAACCCCCTGCCGCTTATTGATAGAGAGGCACCGGGGGGGTGGGGGGACACGACAAGTGGGCAGCTACCATCTTGGCTGCTGCCCTTTGTGCCACCCCACCAGCCAGTGCCTTCCCCTCCCTGGTGGGCTGTGAGGCTGGGCTGCAGTGGCAGTGAGTAATGCTAGCTCCCACTGGGGAGCCAGTATTTTAATTTTATTCAGGGTTTTTTTTTCCTGGGAAATCATGGCCCATGCCATTTTTCACAGGGATCACAGAGATCACTGTTTTTCATAGTTTCTGCAAAAATTGTGAAACTGTGATTTAAGTCATTCCCTATTCATAAGACCTTGGTCTCCAATGTACTTGAGAGCAGTCTCAGAGGGCACTCTAGAGTAGCATCACGGCCATGTTCCTGGGTTTGGTATATGTGAGCAGGGCAAGAGCTTGCTTTGTGACCTCAGACAGATTGTGCAGTCACTCTGTGTCTCAGTTTGCCCGCTCAGGGTACAGGTGTAAGACTATTTATCCTTCTCATAGATGAGTTAGGCGGATTGATGGATGTTTGAGATGAAAACTGTTCTGCAACAGCAGAAAATTATTGCATTAGTATGAGAAATCAGTGAGTTGGTCCTTTCTTGCCATTACCAAAGCTCTTGGGGCTTAGGTTCAGAAAACAGCCCAAGGTTCAAGTAGCTGGAGTGCTGCACGGTTAGTTCCTACCCAGTCTTCATTTGCATTTGCACCCCTAAGGTATTTGTTTATGCAAGGCCAGGACTCTTGAGTCACTTCTAGCTGCTCTTCCCAATTAAACCTGGCTGTAAAAAGAGGGCACCTTTACATCCATACTGGCCTTAGCTTACCAGACATATGCATGCAGGTTCGAGTCCAAAGCCTACTGAAAGTGAGTGTAACACTGCCATTGGCTTCAATGAGATTTGGATTGTACCCTGGCGACTAGGTGGGAATGCTCCACATAAGCATGTGAAAGTGGTCCCACTAACTATACACAGAACATTTCAGGGGAGTTGCCTTCACAAATATGTCCCTGAAAACAGGGTGGTATTAGGTTAAGCAATTCAAAGAGAGACTGAAACCACACTTTCCTATGTGCTTCCTCTCCCCCACACTCCACTCAGGGACCAAGCATATCATCCATGACGCATGCTCATGTGTATCAGCTGGAGACATAGGGCAGTTTGGAGATCACTCCCGTTTCTCAGAGAGCCTTCCATTAAACAGGAGAAAGAGACAGTATTACATTACACTTTTAATTCTCTTTGTGATCATATAAGTCCCCCAAATCCCTCTGCCAGTAAGCTCCAGTGATTAAATGTCTTACTGCGGGGAAACTATAGCTAACACCTTCTTCCCTTATCAAAATATGTTGCTAATGAGTACTGGGAAATCACTCAGTGTTAGTACAGCATCTGTAGATTAACATTAGCTTAGTCATATATTTTCATAAGAAGCCAGCAGCTGGAATTCAATCAATCACTTGATTTCACAAGGCTATTCTTCATGCAGATGTCTCACAGTGTTTTACCAACCAAAGTGAATAGAGAGGCAGCTCAAAAGGGCATGGCCAGGATTTTTTTTTTTAAGTGGCTAGGGGATTTGTGGCGTTACATGTTTTGGGTACCCAAGTTGAGACACATTGGACGAGCCTGACTTTCTGAGAAAGATAAACATATTGCCCTCTGAAAACCCAGGCGCCTTTATGGCTTCTCAGCTTGGGCACATGAAAATCATCAGTCACTTTTCAAAATCTGGGAATGTGCCTTCAAGCTCGTATTTAAATAGTGATAATGGCCCTACAGCCATATGGGAAACAAGCGATTTCACATCTCTTGCTGGAAGAGGGAGAATAGTCTGTTCGGCACGTAGCGTGACTCCAGCTATTAGCATTTCACCCTTCCTTAGGGGAGTCGGAAGGGACAGAGGGGCACCATTCAACTGGGAACAGAAATGGGGAAATTTATTACCTCTCATATATTGATATAGAGAGCTATAGACCTGGCTCAGAAAGCTTTCTGATACAGAAAGGGGGACACTGTGTCAAATCCACATATGCATGCAATCAGCAATCCTTGCCATGGGGCATGCAAGAAGTACCTGGGACAGAATTCAGTAGCCTTGGATCTAAAAATACAAGCAGCCGCTAGTTGCAATGAAAGCGAAAACATATTACCTTTAAGTAGTGGTAAGTGCTGATATCCTGTGTGGTCTTCAGCCACTGACAGGAGCAAACTGGGAGTTCTGATGATAGCTGAAGAAGAGAAAGGAGGATTTTGATTTTCATGTGGCAAAAGACCGAAAGCCATCACAAACACTGAAGAAGAAGGGGCATATCATGTGAAGATTGCAGTAGTCATAATACGATATTGCTAGAATATACACTAAGGTCTGAGCAATAGGACTGGAGAAGCAGAGACAATTCATGGGTAGGTTAGCCATCATCCTCTGGTGCCTCACATCTTGTGTTGCTATTTACATCTGGCCTAGACAGCTATTTACCTTCTGACCTAGTACCAGTTTACACCAATTTTGGTCTCACTTTGCTTAGATGGTAATGGTTACTGTACAGAGCACAAGGCAGTACAACATCAGGCTTGCGGAGACTGTGTCCTTGAGGGAGGCTTATTGTTCTCTTGGTGGACCTAGGCCCACCACACCTAGCATAACAAAGAGACTTGTTGAAACAGGGGTGAAAGGATTTTGTGTGGGGCTGGATGTGATCAGAGACAAAAAGATAGCACTAAAAGGAGGAGCTTTGGTGATGGGAAGAAGGAATTTGCGGTCAACAGTAGTAGACCACTGAAAAGAAAAAGAAGCAAGAATTTAACTGGATGACTATGAATGTGGTTAGCACTGTCTGTAACTTTACTACCCATGCACGATTATTTTGGAATCCTTATGTGACATGAATGTGCCCAGTAATTGCTTGCTGTAGTGCTTATTCTGTTTCATGAGAAAACAGTATAGAGTAAATCATGTTTAATAAGAACCAATTGATGATTAAAGAAACAAAACAAAAAGCAACCTTTTGGTTTCCAGGAGAAAACTTGGCTGAACAAAGGTATAAACATGGGTTCCTCTGATTCAGAGGCCTAGAACAATACAAAGATGAACCTGTTGTGAATCAGAGGATGTGGAAACTGCCCGCTGAAGGGTGAAACCCCACTTTACAAACCAGAGAGGTGGTGATCTAGTTGGGGATGGTCCTGCCTTGAGCAGGGGGTTGGACTAGATGACTTCCTGAGGTCCCTTCCAACCCTAACTTGCTATGATTCTGTGATAATCCTGGCAGCAGGTTGTGAAGAAAGGCTATGTGGAACCTTGTAAGTATCCTAAAATCAAGTCTCCGTGTCAAAATTACTCTGCCAGACAGCATATTTAAGGATGCCCCTGCCCAGCACAGTGAGTTGGCTGTGTAGGCATGCCTGCAAGCCCTTTTCATTGGCAATTTTTTTATTGCAAGGCATGCATTTCAAAGTGTTAAATTAGACTGAATTTGTATTGAGTTCTGAAAGAAGCAGTTAAGGAACTGGATGATTCAGGGGAATGTTAATGGAATACTGCAACTACCACTCCGGGCCCGTTCTGTCGCCTGTTGAAGTGAAGGGGAAGCCTTCCACAGAGTTCAGTGAGCATGAGGCGTGGATCAGGTTCAGGCCCTAAATCAATTATCGCACTTTAGTTCAAACTGATGTTGAACAAAAGTCATAACCATCTGACTGTCATTGGCTGGTCTGCATTCAGAGGTGGATTGGGGGTGGGGGGGTGCAGTGGTGCAGTCGCACCCCTTTTTCACTACAGATTGCATGCTAGAGGCTCTGGGTCCCTGCTGCCTCAGTCCCCTATGGGGTCCAGGCAACGAAGCACAGCTGGAGCTCCAGGGGTGGCAAGGGACACCTAGGGAGCCTGGGTAGGGGTTGGGTGCCGGAAGGAGGAACCTGCCCCTTACCATAGCTGCTCTCTGCAGTCACCAGCTGGAACAGGAGAAAAGCAGCCCTGAGGCTTTCCCTGCCCTGGGATCAACTAGAGGCAGCAGTGGTGGCAGACAGATTCCACCTCCCCCCGTCCCCCTGCCCTTTTTGCTCCCAGCTTCTGCACCTACTCCTTGCCCAGTCTTGCAGATGTCACCCCAGGGCCTCCAGCTACACCTCGCCCACATTCCTCGTCATGGTCTGAGGGTGCATGCTGCAGCCTCTTTACAAAAACCTAGATCTGCCCATGTCTGAACTGGTAGTGTAGCTCCTAGTGGACAGATTTCCACAGCACCAGGGATCTGTGTTTTCAATTTCCTAAGGAAAATCGATTTTCCCCTTTAAAGGAGAAAAACAGGTTTCCCCCTTTAAAGCAGGAAATGTCAGGTTTCCTCTTGCAGGCTGGCAGAGTTCCAGCCTGCAACAAGCTGCTTGAGGCTGGAGGGAGTTGGGGGAAGGCAACTGGAGGCAAGGGGCACCATGTACATGTGCACCTGCACACATACGCAGCCAGCAATATAGTCAGGCAGGGTGGTTGGAGTCTATGGGATGTGGGGGACGATTGGAAGGCCAGGACTTGGGGACTGTCTGGGTATGATCTGGGGACACCCACTGGCAACACAATGAGGGGGCATGGGGAGGCATGTGGAGCACAGCTGGCACAGGGCTTCTGGCCGCAGTGGTGGCAGCAGTGACAGCACTGAGTCTCCCTCGTCTGCTCCTCCCTCTCATACCAGGTTCCACCAGCTGGGCTGTAGAGGTGGCTCCTGCCAACTGTTGGCACGGCCAGGCTGCATCCCTGTGTCCCATGCCCCACTGTCAGTGCATAAATCTGGGTGGGCACATGCCCCCCCAAAGCATCATCAATGGCATTGCCTATGCCCACCCCTCCCCACCCCACATATACACACCCTTCCCCTCCATACCTGTCTGGTGCAGGGGCAGAGCTGCTGCCAAGAGAGAGAAAGCAAGGGGCAGGGAGGGGCTGTGGGCTGGGAGTAAGGGGCACTGGCAGGGCTGGGGGTGCTATGCTTGTGAGTGAGGGGCAACAGCATGGGCAGGGGCAGGGCACAGGCATGTCAGGGCTGCTCAGCACCACAAAGCAGTGTGGGGTGCAGCTGCAGCTGGACCCATGCCCTGGTAAGTGAAGGGGGCAGGGAGAGCTCTGATTTTCCATGAAAAAGAACCAAAATCAAGCAACAAAATATATAGGTATTTAGAATTTATTTTATAATAATAATGGAGGCAGTGGGAGGCTTCCAGTTGCTTTAAAATTGTCAATATATCAATAAAACATTGTGTTCAACTGAGTTACATGTAACATGGGAACACCCAAGGGGGTGTCTGTCCATCAGCTGGAAGGGATAAATGAGGCAAGCAACAGTGCTGTGAGAAGGACACTGGTGATTTGAGCTCAGGTCCCTCTTTCCTCTATAGAGTCAGCTCCACACCAATGCTCTTAACTATTTAGTTTATTAAATTATAATATAATACTATTCTTATCCAATATATGCAGGTAAGTATTTCAGTAGGTATCACCCAACAAATAAAGGAAAACTTCTGGTAAGTATTCCCAGTTATATCATTCAACAACACTAAGGGTATACAGATAAGCATGTAAATATGGTAAGACAGGAACCAGTTCCTGGGACTGCTTGTCCTAATGGGCAACTCACCTTGGGGATGGCCTTCTCAACCCTGTGCCCTACAGAGGCCTGGTGAAACTGGTGAGTCCTCAGGATGCCCGTGCAAGGAGGAGGGCCAGATACCCAGATGGGTAAACCAGGTAAGTTAGGGTCAACAGGTAGTTTACAGGGAACCCAGAGAAACCATTGGCAGAGTACAACCAGGTAGAAAAGGAGTGGTGGGGGAGAGGGGGGCGGCGTGAGCAGGCAGCACACCAATGAGGAACCAGTTATACAAAACTAAACTAATCCCATCACATATTGTACAATATATCCATAATCATGATACCAGTCTTACAAAATATAAGGCACAGCTTTACATGATATAAGGCACGTCTACCCCTTGACTCCAGTTAGCAAGGGGTACCTCCCCTCCTACAAGTCTAGCTGGGGGGGAACCTTTCACCTGGGGCTTCCCTCTGGAGGGGAAGCCTTATTTCAAGAATGCCTCCCCTGCGGGACCCGATTCCTCTAGCAACTCAGTCCTCTCTGAGGAGCCGTCGACTGGGCCTCAGGGTCCTTCACTCAGTCAGAGGCCCCCGGCGCTGTCTGCCTCATGCCAAGACCTCCTCTCCTGGCCCTGTGCCCCGCTTTGGGCACTGAGGTTTTTCCAGCTCCGGGGGGGGGGAGGGGAGGAACCCAGCCACTACTGGCTAGGTTTACCCAGCCTTATGCCTGGGCCTTCCCATTCCTGGGCCCTGCTCTAGACTCTGGGGCTTTTTTCGTTCCTTGGCCAGGCCACACAGCGGGCTCCGGCTATCTGGCCTACACCAGGGCTAACCTGAGCAGCCTCGAGCTGCTTCCAGAGCCGGCTCTCCATGTGCTGGCCTGCACACCGTGTGGGGCCTGAACAGCCTTGAGCCGCTCCCAGGGCTGGCTCTCCATGTGCCAGTCTGCACACCGCTCCGTCTGCTCCCCTGCTGGGGATGCAGGCTCGAGCCACCCTGGTGCAGCTCCCAGAGCCTGAGCCCCGTGCACCAATCTGCGCACTGTTGGGGGGAGGATGGGATCCTGGTGGAGGCCCTTTTCGGGTGCTTCCCTCTCTGACATCCCTTCCTGCCTTCCTCGTGCAGCTCATGCCACTCCTTTTATACTCTTAGGGGGCTCCACCCCCTGAAGTCCCGCGGACTTGCAGGTCTGAACTCGGTACGGGAGCTCCTTCACCCTCGCTTCGGGAAAGGGGTGGTGCCGGCTTCTCCCCGCTCTCTCCCTTATTGGTGGATAGGCTACACTTATCAGAACTGAGAATTCTCGAGCAGGTAAATCCGCCACATACATACAACGTTTCATTTTAATTGTAGAAAAATGTGGATTTGGGGGGTTTTAATCAGAGAATTTGGGATGTTTTATCAGAGGAAACCAGGATCCCTCCGACACCACCAAATACAGTCACAATTAACATTGGACACTTTTGTTGACAGTCATTGGAGAGGCCTGAGACTGAATGGAGATCAAGATGGGACATTGCTATCAACCCAGTCCGTGATCCCTGTTGGCCCTCATAGAGGCTCTTTCAGGGGAAGTCTGTGCTACTGCTGTACCTGCCCCTGTTCTTCTGCCATGATGCTAGCATTAGATCTATGAGAAAATGCAAAATAGGCCTAATTCAGTATTGAGTAGGGGCTGGAACCAAAGCCCAGAGAAGCAGATGGGACCCTTTCCATTCACTTCAGTGGGCTTTGGCTTTGATTGCAAAGTAATTGAATAAAAGGAGGCAGCTCCTAAATATCCTATCACGTGTCTCTGCTTTCTGCATGCAGTTGACTTTGAATTGTTTTCCATTTATTTGTCTCAATTTAAAGTTATGGCAAGTATATGTAACTTAGACAGGTGCTGCAAGAGTCACAGTAGAAACAGGTTTTGGCATAACATATGGAATTGTTATTGTTCAGCTCTAAAGCATGGGTACGGCTGGCCCATAAAGATGGGATGGTATTCCCATCTCCTTCATTTCATCCAAGTATTAACTGCCGTGTTAATCTCCATTAATCTAATCAATCCACTTATTCCCTCTTTTAGCAGTGTCCTCTCTACCTGGCCCTTTCTATTCTGTATAAAATATTTTCTTTTTGCCAAGCAAGGAAGCCAAAACATTCATAGAATCTAATGAAATAGTTTGTTGCCTATGAGCTTTCTGGACCAGTTAAGTTTCGAAGGTGCTACCCTTCTGCCTGATGTTATTCACAATTGTCTTCAGTTTTTCTTCTTGCTTTTTTAACAGCAGAGTGTTTTCCAGCATTTGTTCATAGTCTAAAAAGCAGAATAAAAATATTTATTTACCTTTGTAGTCTCTTCTCTGCTTCCCTGATTGCAAAGTCCTTCCTCTCTATGTTTCCAGTGCACCTTGTCTCTTCTAGTTTCTGATTGCTAGTGGTCACATTCAAAGCCCACTGAAGTAGATAGGAATGCTTCCATTAAACCTGGGGGTTTTGAGTCTTACACTAACCCCATAACTGGTGATGTTCTGACCTTTTTTTGCATTTATTTCTTTTATTTTTCAGTTTAGAAAGAGAAGCTGCTGAAGTTAAGTTTCTCCATGGAGATTTAAAATATTACATCTACTTGATTTAGATCTGGCCTTCCAAAATGCTGTCCTCTTGTTTTTTTATGGCTTGTTCTGGGGCATTTTGAGCACTATCTATTTTTCAATAGAATTGTTTGCATCCTTGATCTCAGTGTCAGTGTTTTAAGTATAGGAGTGAAACACAACATATTTCTGATTGTGGTCATCTAAGCTGCATCTACATGAGATGTTGACTACGCAGTAGCTCATTACTACTGTGCAGTAGCATCATGTGGCACAAAATGTGATGAGATGCTACTGTACAGTAGTAACAAGCTACTGTGCAGTCAGCATCACCATAAAAAGCCACTTGGGGACGCTACTGCGCAGTAACACTGGTTACTGCACAGTCATTTAGTATTTGAGTATGAAAGTACTAAATGACTGAGCAGTAACAACTGTGCAATTAGTGTCTCATGTAGACTCAGCCCTAGTGTTATGTGATGTTATGAATGCTAGCTAAACCATACTCACACTATGTGTGCTTTCTTGTTTTATTGATTAACCTACAACAGGGATCAGCAACCCCCAGCACACGGGCCAGAGCGTGGCATCTGAAGGCATTTTTCTTGGCAAAATCTTCATTTGCTTGGCAAAATCTTCATTCCATCCAGGAAGAGCATGTGCCAACTATAGAGGCTTCCTCAGCCTGACAACGGGTTTTTAAACCCGAAAGCTTGCTAAGAAATTTTTTTTCCAGCTATTTAAGTTGGTCTAATAAAAGATATCAGATTCACCCAAAGAACCTTGTCTGCCCATGTCCTTAGATCAACACAACTACAACCCTCCAAAAGATGTAGGCACATAAGTCCTATTTGTCTTTTACTCTTCTCCATGCAGTTTTCAAATGGGACTCATGCTACTCCATCTCTTGGGCACTTTTGAAATCCCTGCCCACCGTGATCCCAGTTCACAGAATTTCACATTTGTGGTTTTTTCTTATGGTTTTGCCCTTTCTGGTACAATCTGCTGGAAGATTCAGGGTCCATTTTCTGTCCCCCTTCCCCTGGCCCAGCCACACTACATACAGAGAGGATTGAATCATACTGGTGGATAATTTTAGCAGCATTTTTATCAATGAGTTGCATTTATCTAGGGGTTTCTTATGGTGTAGAAGGCTCATAGAGGTCTTCCTTGTAATTCTTCTGTATTTACAATACAGTAATTCATTTTATGCAATAAGCTTGAGCCTTCATCCCAGTATAGATTTGCTTCATACAAAAAGAACCTATATTATAGCACCAGTAGGAAAGAAGTCTATGTAGGAGAGTTCCCCTATACCCTCAATAAGAAATTAGGAGGGGATTGTTCAATAGGCACAATAATTTTATCTGTTAAATTCAAGCAAGCACCGAAACAAGACTGTTTCTGAAGCTTCTCAGGTGTATGAATAGCTTAATGGATAATTTTTAGACAAGAGTTTCCATTTCAGCCCAACCTGCAGCAAAGGTGAACCTACTCAGAGCTGATGTCAGTAGCACTGGGAATGTAAAAACTTCCTGCAGTCTAAGAGTCTATGCCACCAAGTGAATGTAGTTCTTCCACAGCTGTGCTTGGTCTGAGTATCAAAAGCAAAGGGTCACAAAGGAAGCAAGATAGCCAAGTTGAAGAAAGCCATTCACACAACCTCTGCCTAATTTCCATAGTTGCTCAACTCAAGACCTCCTAGGAGACTAAGTTTTTATCAGAAGTCTGCTTAGGGAATGGACACAGGTATATTTGGAGCCATTTCAAAAGGGGTAGGAGCAGTTACCTTCTAACTGGAAATGATATAAATATAATGAAATTTTTCCAGATTTGACCCTGGATGAAGCAGGGTACAACCAGCATAATTTGTTTACACGTAACAAATATAATGCAAGAGCTGCTCCCCCTTTTGAAATGGCTCCAATGTATGTGTGTCTCTGCCCCTTGGTACCAAGGGTTCTGCTATTGCACATGCTGTTCCCATCTTGGCTGAGCCCTGCGCTTAGATGCTTATCTCCCTCCAAAGGCCATTTGGGATTTGCAAACAAGGCATTGCTGCAGCAAAATATCTATCTGGAAGAGTCTAGTCTGGGAGGAGCCCAGTCTGGTAGGTGCACTCATACCTTAGACAGCTTATGCGTTTCCTCTGGGGGCTTTTTTCCATGCAAATTGCATAAGCAGTCCCTGAAGCAGGGAACTGAGACCCAGGACTCCTCTCTCCTAGGGAATGCCCTCCTGACTGTGGTACAGCTCCGTGCTCCCTTTGCTTCCTTTCCCTCTGGCTCCTTGAATCTTGCATTCCTTTCTACACAATGGCTCATTGTCAACAGGAAGGGTGAAGCCTGGCCTCAGCCCAGCACAGCCTCTGGCCTGACATTCTCTTGGGAGGCAGGAGATGTGAGTGTGAAGCCCCTCAGGCCAAGGAAGCCCTGGAACCCAGGCCTCCCACAGGTTGAATGAGTGCTCTAATCACTAGCCTTTTACATAAAAGACCACCACCTCCTCCGTTGGATGGGTATGAAGGGAAAAGGGTGAGTCACTCACCTCAACCTGTACGTGAACAGATGAGTTAGGCACCTAAGGCAAGGTGGGGGTGTCAGGCTATGAATCCTCATTTCATATACATGCCTAAATCAGGGATGCAGGTATGTGCTCAAGCGTGGGAGACAGGGAAGTGATACTCCCACTGTACTCTGCACTGGTGAGACTGCAGCTGGAGTACCATATCCCGTTCTGGGCTCCACACTTCAACAAGGTCGTGGAAAAACTTGAGAGGGTCCAGAGAAGAGCTACCCATATGATCAGGGACTTGCAAGATAAGCCATACGAGGAGAGGCTGTGGGACTTGGGCCTCTTTTTCAGCCTACAGAAGAGAAGGCTGAGAGGGGACTTAGTAGCAGCTTACTGGTACATCAGGGGAGTACATCAAGAACTCGATGAACAGCTATTCACCAGGGTACCCCTGGGGAAGACCAGGAGCAATGGATACAAACTCCTGGAAGGCCGCTTCAGGCTCAATTCCAGGAAAAACTCCTTCACAGTCAGGGTGTCCAGACTGAGGAATAAACTCCCTCCAGTGGTGGTGCATTCAGCTACCCTGGAAATCTTCAAAAGGAGACTGGACAGTCACCTTGATGTGGTCACTTGACCCCAGTTGTCTTTTTCTGCCTAGTGCAGGGGGACTGGATCCGATGATCTACAAGGTCCCTTCCAGCCTCTAACAATCTATGAATCTATGAAGGTCACCCCTCCCAAGTATTTCTTATTGGCTAACTGAGGCATCCCTTGCTCGCTGTGCTGATGGCTGTTAATCCCAGTCCCAGGTATCTAGCTTTCC